GTAATGTGTTTTGGGGTTTGAAAGCCACTGGGACATCATGTTTAGAAAATAAACGTCTCGGTTTCTCCGAAACACCCGCAACATACGAAATAACATTAGAGAAGAACCCGTCCAGAGGACCTATACAATTTTTTTTCTTTTTGATCTTTTACCTGGATTACTGAGATGCATCAGGACATACTAAGTAAGCATTTTGGTTTGTCCAGACACCCCCATTTCAGATGGAGCCCCCTCCTCAAATATGGGGTCTATTATAAAATCGTTGGCTGGTGCAGTGTAGGTCAGACTCACATTCCTACTGAATTTCACGTTGATTGGTGTTGCCATTTCTGTGCTACGGTTGACCACAAATCTCTGAAATAAAAACTAAATAAAAAAACTAAAAAGCATGAAAACAGTATGATGCTTTGCGTGCGTGGATGAACTACGTTGAGGCGTAGTAGTAGCTCCCAAACTTTTTATTTTTTGTTTTGTCACTAACTTTGCGAAATTTTAGCGGCTCAATTGGCTTCTGCTAAATTAAGTTAGCCAAGTTTAACTACGCTAACAACTAACAAGCTAACATCAACAGGTTTGTGTCAATCTCACAGTTCTTTGCAGTTAGTTTCTGCTAGTTTTGAAAAATGTGTCTTGAGGTTTAACATTTGTGCAGCAGACCATGAGTTAGTGAAGATAATTTTTGGTTTAGCTGTTCCCACCACATCATACATGTTTCTTTTTTTGAAGGTTCAACTTCAACAGCAATGACACCAACGTGAAACTCATTGCGGGTGACATTTTGTTTCTTGGAGGTTGCCTATGTTGGGACTGTGTTCTTGTTCTTTTTCTCAGTGGAACCCAAACCTGGTCCAATACTGTATTCAGAGGACATGACATGCTTTTAAATCCTTATTTTTCACATTTAAAGCATTCGGTTGGGGTCTGTGTAAAGGGAAAATGCAACGCTTCGTTCTGAATACCTGGTTCTTGGCGCCACAGACTCTCCCTCTCTGAGAGCAACTAGTTTTGGTGCGGCCCCCACTCCATCCCATTCGGCCATTTTTATAGTTTGATAGCAGAGACGATAATATATTTATATAATGATCAATAATGGGAGACATGTCCATCCAGCCTTACATGTTGGAGGCGAATGGAGTAGACGGCAGAACTGCAGATTCATGAAACTAACCTTGTTTAGAAGTTCCACTATAAATACTGTGACGAACTGTTCAATAACAGAAACTAGAGAAAACTGAACAGATTGAAAAATATGACCCAAACAGAACATAAAGGTATAAGTTCAACTTTTCTGCGCAACTAAATAGATTTAACAGATAAAAGCATATTTTGCTGGATATGTCTCCTTTAAAGACTTCAAAAACCAAATCAGAGATGATTCCTTCCTCTTATGTAGCACTCCAGGAGGTCACCGGAGGGTTAGACTGAAAGGTTACGAATTGTTGCATTGTCTCATAACTTTCACGTGCAGGTGGTTTAACACAGCATTGCTCAAACCTCTACAAATATCACGGAGGGTGTAACAAATAGGAAGTCAGGGTTTCGTTGGCACAGGTTCCTATCATCTGTCAGAATTTGCTTAAAGCACTCGACGAGAACGATTCCGTTCTGAGACGTTGCCTCCATGAAGGAGCTTTACTGCCGTCCTCGGGTGTCCCAACATTCAACCCTTTTATGACCGGAGGAGAAAAGCACAGCAGAGGAACTCACACGGTGAAAGACGAGCACAGTTATCAGACTTTCAGATCTTTGTTGATTCACAATGCCCAGAGATAGTGGTTCATTGTTTTTCCTCAGTGTGACGTAAAAAACTTCAGAACTGATTGTGGTCTGAGCTCAAACTACACCTCCCGACTGGTTGCCATATTTTCACCTTCAAAGTTTGCGGTTTGTTTTTCTTAGAGCTCACCAAATTTTTCTTACAGCTTTATGTTCGATGCTAAATCTTTGTTTTTTTTTTAAAGTGTTGGTATCGTGCAAAGACTTTGCAATGCCACGTTTTCTAGTGTCAAAGAAGAAGTGTTAAGTGTGAACTTCTGCTGTTTGACAGTCCCTGGTTTTAATTAAACGTGTGGCGGGAAACACTCGGTACGCAATCACACCAAGAATTTTACTAGTCATCTTACATCTGATGTAGAGTTTACTCATGTTGGAACCACCCAACTTTCTTTTTTTTATCTGAAATTAAAAGTGAGCCAGAGAAAAGTAAAAGATATCTTTGTATGCAGCTGAAAAACACCAAGAATAGCAACAAAAACTGTTCAACATTCTGCTCCTCACCAGGGAAATACTGTGCAAATTTACAGCCGATAAAATAAGTATTGAACACGTCACCATTTTTCTCAGTAAATATATTACTAGAGGTGCTAATGACATGAAATTTTCACCAGATGTTGGTAACAACCCAAGTGA